AAATTGGATTTTCTTACCAGATAATAAAAATTAAATGATGCCCCATAGAGCTAATGGCTATGTTTGTCTCGTGCTTGGCTGACTCTTTGCTCTCTTTAGGATCTGAGCCACGTGGTCTCAGGAGAGGTGCTCGATGAAGATATCCCCCCTCCCTCAGTGTCGTTGCCCAAGTTGGCAGCCCTGCTGAGAGTTTTCAGCACAGTGGTCCGCAGCATCGGAGAGCGATTCAGCCCGTTCAGAGGACCTCCTATTACTGAAGTCTACGTGACAGACGTAAGAGCTGCACCTCTGACAACCAAACAGGAGATCTGGAGAGCACTCACTGACAAATGTGGATCGCAGTTTGGAAATAACTTACTGTTAAAATGTGTTGAGAACATTGTGCTGTTGGTAAAAGGAGCACATCTTCCAGGTTTCCTTTGATGAAGTACTTAAATACACACTATATTTACCACAGTGCCGTATTTTCCAGTAGTATTTAGTTTGTTCTAAGAAAGCCTGAGGAGCAGCTGGTCAATAAGACGTTCCTCTGAAGTGTGCACACAACGTGCTGTGGTAGTTGGATAATGACAGGTTGGACACAGATATTGATTTTAGCCACAACAAGCAGAACATCAGAATTTAGTGCACCTTCTTTTCACATAACTCAGAGTAACTCGTGGACATTTAGGCTCATTCTTTTTTTCTGCACATTGAACTTTTCTCACCGTTAAAAGAAAGATGCAGATTTGTAGCAAGGCAGTCAGCATATACAGGATAAGCCAAATATTTACACTTCGTTTCTGTGGTCTCGTGTTATTATTACAATCTGTGAAGTTCGCAGTCTGGGCTTCATCACTGTAGTCACTGTTCTCTGTTTCCTGATCTTTCCAAAGGTTCTTAACCGGGTTCTGGCCTGTGTGACTGTGGCAAAGCAGGTGCAGTTCTCTGAGGCCGTTCTCACTGCAGGGAATGAGTGTGTGGGTGTGCTGCTGGCCAGTGTAGAGCCCTGTGGGCAGCTGATGGATGCTGTCCTTGCCTACGGTCTAGACCAGCTGGACTGCTGCCAGGCCTGTGGCCCAGACTACAACCTGGCAGTGCTCAATCTCCTCACTCTGGTACAGTCACCTAACGGGTTTTATATGTACTCATAGAATAAGATGTGTTCATTTGTATGCTCACAGCCTGACTGACAAAGTCTACACTGATGCTGTAGTTTGACCTGTTATGATTATAATTGAGCTGATGGCAGCTTTCTTACAGTCTGTGTTGCAGATACCAGTTTTTGTCCTTTTCTGCACTAAACATTGTGATTTCCTGTAACAGCCCCCTGTCTCCACCCCCACACATTCTTAGTCCCTACCGTGCCCCCTCCCCTCTGTGGCAGTTACCAGTCTGGCTGTCGAGTGCTGTAAATTGTCCAATTCTGATAAACCTTTGATTAAAGTTAAATCTGGGACTGCTACAACTTGTGGAAAATTCTGTGACGGTGTAAACAATTAGCAAGCCTGACTGTGACGTTGTGTGAGGAATTTTTTAATGTTGCCTTTCAGATTGTAGACCAGGTCAACACCAAGCTGCCCGTGTCCTTTGTAGAGAAGCTGTTGGCACCAGACTCTCAGCTGCTGAAGCTTCGCTTTCATCAAGAGAAAGAGGTTTGGCTTCACTCAGTGTTCCTGTACCACCTTAATGGGCTTGGCATATATTTTACACATCTAATAATCCAAGGCCGCTCCAGTCTGCATACCAAATATCCTCGGGCAACGTACTGAACCCAAGTGGCTCGCTAATGCAAAAGGCCTTCACCTTAGAAACAAGCTAAGATTCTACCAAGAAAAACATGTTGCATATATATCAGAGCAGGAACATGCATGAAGGTCAGTTATATACACTCAGTGTGTTCTTGGCTCATTCGTAGGTTGGGTGAGTGAAAATAATTTGAAGATTTTCTGTGTTGATGAGTGTAATCCCTGTCCATGTGCTCCCTGCACAGGTCATGTCAGCTGTCCACGGCGTGTACCAGGCGCTGCTGAGCCTGAAAAACATCCCAACACTGGAGGCAGCTTATAAAATGGTGTTGGGCGAGATGGCATGTGGTCTCAACAGCTTGATGGAGACTTTGGGTCCCCTGGAACCAGGGACCCTCTGCCCTAATATCCAGCACCCTGCTTTTGCTCCCCTCACCCTACCGCCAGAAAAAGCCCAGTTCACCATCATCTTCAACCTCAGCACCTTTACCACCATTGGCAACACCAAGAATTCTCTGATTGGGGTGAGCCGTTGTCTATTGTTAAACATCACAGTAGCACTGTAATAATGTCGCAGTACTTCCTTTGGTGTGACTGGTGTGGTAAAAGCTTCATATTAACTTTACACTCATTAATACATCTAAAGATATGTTCCTGTAACGCATTTTGGGACATGCAGACACGGGACATGGGTTCATCACTCAGTGTCTGCATGACAGCCATGCTGATATTCCTCACAGTTTCATTCTGTCACACTCACAAAGTTAACACAGTGTATCACAGTAGGGCAGCACGGTGGTCAGCACTGTTGCCGCACAGCAAGAAGGTCCTGAGTTCAATTCCACCATCGGGGCGATCGTGGCTCAGAGTTGGGAGTTCGCCTTGTAATCGGAAGGTTGCCGGTTCGAGCCCCGGCTTGGACAGTCTCTGTCGTTGTGTCCTTGGGCAAGACACTTCACCCGTTGCCTACTGGTGGTGGTCAGAGGGCCCGGTGGCGCCAGTGTCCGGCAGCCTCGCCTCTGTCAGTGCGCCCCAGGGTGGCTGTGGCTACAATGTAGCTACCATCACCAGTGTGTGAATGGGTGGATGACTGGATGTGTAAAGCGCTTTGGGGTCCTTAGGGACTAGTAAAGCTATACAAATACAGGCCATTTACCATTTACCATCGAGTTTTCTGTGTGGAGTTTGCATGTTCTCCCCGTGTTTGCGTGGGTTCTCTCCGGGTACTCCGGCTTCCTCCCACCGTCCAAAGACATGCAGCTTGTGGGGATAGGTTCATTGGTTAATCTAAATTGTCCAAAGGAGTGAATGTGAGTGTGAATGGTTGTCTGTCTGTGTTGGCCCTGCGACAGACTGGCGACCTGTCCAGGGGGTACCCCGCCTCTCGCCCTGTGACAGCTGGGATAGGCTCCAGCGCCCCCCGCACCCTGAAAAGGATAAGCGGGTGGATGGATGATGTCACAGTACTGCAGATAGGAGGCCAACAATGTACTTTTGCCTGTCTGTCAAAGTTGTTCTCTTAAGGCCAAAAAATGCCCAAAAGATTTACTTTCCCCAGTGGACCATTATAGCAAATCCAATAATGGACCACTTCATAGTCATATTTTATTTATTTAGTTTATTAGTGTTTTTATTTTGAGTTATCAAAATCCTAACGGACTAGATCGCGGATGGAAAAGAAGAAAGAAGAGAAAGTGGGCAAAAAGTTAAACAGAAGGGGAGAGAGAAAGACGGGGAGAGGAAACAACGGTGAGAATCTGCGTCAATACCTGCTGACGGAAAAAACCAGTGAAACCACAGCAACAACCAATATATGCATAGATAACAGCCCTGCCCCCAGGACACGAAGCAGGCATGGAGGACACTCGGGCCCCAGAGGCCCCCCAGAGCACGAGAGCCCCAGGAGGACCACAGCAGGGACGAGGAGCCTGAGATGTTGTAAGATAGGTGGAGTGTAGCACCTGGCCTGCATGCATTCCCACCCTCAGGCACACATACATACAAATACTCTCACACTCACACAACATGGAGACACACAGGAATGCACACAGTACACAATCACACTCCCCACACACACACTGTACTTCAGAATCGAAGCACCAACAACCCCAGAGGGGCTTGGTTTACCACGACTACTTTATTCTTCCTCAGCCAATCAGCAGCGCTCGTGCATTTGTTTCACGTTTTTAAGATTTCACCTCTTCAAATGTATGACCCAGCACTTCGATGGGACAATGTTTGCACCGCCACAAGATTCAGTCCATGGTCTGTGTCCGCATCTTCTTTTGGTTCATTAGTGGTTTTCTGTGTGTTCTATCTAGATGTGGGCCTTGTCGCCGACAGTCTTTGCTCTTCTAAGTCACAATCTGATGCTGGTCCACTCTGAGTTGGCTGTCTACTACCCTGCTATCCAGTACACCGTACTCTACTCCCTGTACTCTCACTGCACCAGGTAATACACCCACATGTACTGTGAACAGAATCACTGCTGTCCACTGCAGCATTCTCAGTTATGCAGACATGCACTACAAAGGGGACGGGCCACCCCTCTTAATCTTTTTATTCAGGTGTTTTCAGTCCACTTGCAACAGGTGTATAAACCAAGCAGACATGCGGTGTGCCTTTGTGCACACTGGTGAAAGAACAGGCCATCCTTTCCTCAGGCTAGGTGCTGTAACAGATGCCACCGTTACAAGTCCTTTTACCAAAATCCTTCCCTTCTAGATCTTCCACCACCAACTGTAACTGCTGTTATTATGAGTAGAAGCAGTTGTTTTGCTGATTGCTGCTCACCGTCATAGTAATGCTGAATTAGAGCCGTTATCCTGAAGCTCCCTTTCAGTCGATTCACTCAGTACAACACACGAGTGTGAGATATCACGCCCCCACGTGTCCTGGCTGAAGAAAGCTTTGTTCATGCCTTTAAGACCCACCTGCACATATACCCCCGTCATCACAGTCACCCTCAGTTCTTACACCTCACTGAGTCGGGCTGCTCCTAGTTAGGTTGGCTTAACTGTCCGTGTTGGTGTTAGCCTCCACCGTGCAGTTAGTGCTGCCTGCACTGTCCACCCTGTCCTCAGAGGTTCAGTTTCTCTTTGCACAACAGCAAACGCTGCGATGTCTGCCCATCTGCCTGGGGATTGTCCACACTAGGAGAACACTGACGGAGCCCGAAGCCTGTGCGTTTTGTCTGCAGCTCCGGTACTCGACCCTGGAAAGACGGGGGCCCCAGCTTTGTCCTAGTCCGAACACAAGGAGTGTCTGGTTGATGCCCCTGCATTTAGCTGGGCTGACCACATGGAATATGTTGATGGGTTAGCTGAAGATGAGCTGGAACCAGGCAGGAACGCTAGCGGTCACAGATGATGCTGTGTTGGGCATCGGCTTGGACATTCATGGTTTTTCGGATGATGAGCAGGAGAGCCCGCGTCGGCCCAGTGTGCTGCTCCGCTGACCGACCACGATGACAGCTCTTTGTTTCCCTCCTCAACGCGATCAGAATTGTCACGGATTACATCCGTCGTGCGTCCTGCTGTGCCGCACTCTCCCTGGGCAGAGGGATGGTGCAGAGGCACCCGAGCAGTTACAGATATACCTGTTCATTAGAATATCCCCTTGGTTGTTCTAGTGTTAAGTCTTCTGGAGGAGGAGTAAAATGCCCCCAGAAACCACTGACTTGTCTGTCTGAAAAGGCACGATCATTTTGTTTCGTAGCTCTCTGCATCGTCTGAACGATGTGGCTGTTCTAAAAAATTGTTGCTACAGAAGAATGCCATTTGAGAAAATCCAAGCTTCGTTATTACCAGTGTATGTATCCTACTGAGAGGGCGCACAGAAAAAGAAACCAAAGGAAAAAATCTGCAAACTGCTTTTATTTTGCTTCTTCAAACTAATTAGAAACCTCGCTGGATTTGAACTCTGCTCACCTTCTTAGTACAAGTGTCTCCTTGTGCATCTCTGGATGCTTCCAGTGCTGCTGTGTAGTTTCATCATGGACGTAAATACTATCCAGACATGAACTCAATGAAGTGGCCTGGCCCTCAGTTTGTTTGTTTTTTACTGTGTGGGAGGAGTTCGGAGAGGCCATGGAAAAAGACTTTCAGACCGCCTCGAAGAGATTCTGGCAAACCGTCAGGCGACTCTGGAGGGGAAAGCAGTGCTCCACCTGCACTGTGTATGTGCGGGTGGAGTGCTGCTGACTTCGGCTGAGGAAATCGTCAGGCGGTGGAAGGAATACTAAGAGGATCTCCTCAATCCTACTGGCACATCTTCCGTGGCAAAAGCAGAGTCTGGGGATGAGGGGGATGACCCGCCAATCTCTGATGGCGAGGTCACTGAAGCAGTTAAACAACTCCTTGGTGGCAGAGCCCCTGAGGTGGATGAGGTCCGCCCCGAGTTCCTGAAGGCTCTGGATGTTGTAGGGCTGTCTTGGTTGACATGACATGGACAGAATTTCTAGGTGTAGCCAAGTGGCGGAGGGCTTTCACTTCGGTGGGCTCTGAATCTTATCTCTGCTTTTCGCAGATGATGTGGTTCTGTTGGCTTCATCAGGTGAGGGCCTCCAGCTCGCACTGGAACGGTTCGCAGCCGAGTGTGAAGAGGTGGGAATGAGAATCAAGACCTCCAAATCTGAGGCCATGGTCCTCAGCCGGAAAAGGGTGGAGTGCCCACTCCAGGTCAGGGATGAGACCCTGTCCCAAGTGGAGGAGTTCAAGTATCTCGGGGTCTTGTTTACGAGTGATGGGAGAAGGGAACGGGAGATCAACAGACGGATTGGGGCTGCAGCTGCAGTAATGCGGACGCTGCACCGGTCCGTCGTGGTGAAGAGCGAGCTGAGTGTAAAAGCGAAGCTCTGTTTACCGGTCGATCTACGTCCCTACCCTCACCTATGATCACGAGCTGTGGGTAGTGACCGAAAGAACGAGATCGCGGATACAAACGGCAGAAATGAGCTTCCTCCGAAGGGTGGCTGGCCTCTCCCTTAGAGATAGGGTGAGAAGTTCAGCCATCCGGGAGGGGCTCAGAGTAGAGCAGCTGCTGCTCCACATCGAAAGGAGCCAGCTGAGGTGGTTCGGGCATCTGACAAGGATGCCCCCCGGGCACCTCCTGGGCGAGGTGTTCCAGGCATGTCCCACCGGGAGGAGGCCCCGGGGCAGACCCAGGACACGCTGGAGAGATTATATCTCTCGGCTGGCCTGGGAACGCCTTGGTATTCCCCCGGATAAGCTGGAGGAGGTGGCTGGGGAGAGGGAGGTCTGGGCCTCTTTGCTTGGGCTGCTGCCCCCGCGACCCGGCCCCGGCATAAGCGGAATAAAATGGATGGATGAATGGCCCTCAGGTGCAGCGTCCTACCTGTTCAGACCGACTGGTTTCTTGGCTGTGACCCAGGTTTGGTGTGGACGTCTACTGTGGCAGTTTAGGCTTCAGCTGTGGTGGGCCTGTGTCGTTATACGCCCACTCTTCAAGTTAAAGCGTTGAAATGTTACCACCTTGGAGGACACGCAGCAGATGTCCAAGTGGTTGTCATGGGACATTCTAACAGTAACAGTGGAAACCCAAACCTGATTAATATTATATGGGTGGTGTTGTAAAACTAGCTGAATGAAGAAAGTCAAGTTTGTCTCTGTCACTGAAGATTATTTGAGTGAACTGTGAGCTGTGTGAAGGTTAGTGAACGCTTAGTGTCTCGATGTTTCTGTTTTATGGCTGCTTCTCTAATCAGATGACCTCCTCTGTCTCTGTTCGCAGGCACGATCACTTCATCTCATCCAGCTTATCGTCGTCTTCTCCCTCTCTGTTTGATGGTGCTGTCATCAGTACTGTAACCACGGCAACTAAGAAGCATTTCAGCACACTGCTTAGTCTTCTTGGAGGTCTGCTGTCCCGGGAGCATCTTTACCCCGAGGCCAGGTTCTCTCTCCCCATTTTTAACCAAACACAGCTCAGTGTTTTATCACTAAGTGTTCACTGTTTAGCTAAATGACTCATTAGCTGTCTAACGATGACTGTAAACCAGATTGAACTTATGAAACATATTGGATACAGCTGTTATAACAGTCTTATGTTGGTATGTTAGGAAACTGCTTCTCACCTGGGCTCAGGAGATCTCTCTGCTGATGAAGAAGTCGGACACCTACAGCCCCCTCTTTTCCCTGCCCTCTTTCAACAAGTTCTGCAGAGGGATTCTGGCTAACGGTGAGAATAAACTCCAGAATTGTGCTTTACACAGGCTTCACCACTGAGCAGGATGTTTAATGCTGTCCTCGTTTTCTGTGGACAGCTCTGAATGAAGATCAGAGTATCTGCCTCCAGACCTGCCACACTTTACAGGTCCTTTCTTCATCGCTGTCTACTGAGCTGCTGCAGAGGTGAACGGCTTGCTTCTGACCTGCACGTATATGGAAACATATGATGCCTAATGTTTGTTCTCTTGTATTAAAGCCTCTGTGTGTGTGTCTGTGTGTTGTGGGTTGGGGGTGTCTTAGGTGTACAGATGTGTGCAGAGTGCAGTTGGTCCACTCGGCCATGAGGGTGAGGCAAGCTTATGGTAAACTTCTCAGGACAATCCCTCTTGATGTGGCTCTGAGGTAAGACTTGCTGCACAGCTGTACCACTGCACACTTGATTCATTCACGTGATTTGACATATACATGGTTGATGTGTTGTTATTAGCAGTGGATGTCTTCCTGATTGCTCTGGTGTAATATAGAGGCATCACCCAGCATCTGATAGACTAACAAGCTCCACAGTCTTGTGGCTCATGCTCAGTAGGATGAAATGTTTTGGATAATTTGCCTTTGGGATGAAAGCTGCGGTATTCGTCATACAGCAGAATATAGCCGTCTCTGTGACCACTACAAAACACCAAGTTCAGCCTTGGGCCAGCTATGAAGCATTTGGTGCTACAGCAGCTGTTGGGCTATACAGAGCCTAAACTCTCTGAGCTCCACTTTAATGAAAGGCAGTCAATAAACCTGCTGTTACTTTGGCTCGTTTTCCTGTATCTAGTAGAGTGTGGGTCTGGCTAATGATTAGCTAAGGTTGTACCGAGTCTGAGCAATAAGTGGTCCTGGTTAATAACTGCAGACTACTACTTATACAGAGTTATTACTTGAGTTGAGTCTAACTACAACCCGGCAGGTCCCAATACATTAACCAGCTGCTCAGCTAACGCTGTCTCACAGCTAATGTGAGTGCAGGTTGTTGCATCCTGCCTGACTGCCATTTTTCAATTAAATTAAATAGTTTTGATTAAACGTATGAAAGCTCCGTGTTTTAACCAATCTGTACTATTCATCTATGACTCTCAGAGCTGCACACTCACAAACGGCATTGCTTTCATCAGCACTGTCATAGTTAGGGGACAGTTGGTGTTAGATTTGAACCGCAGTTGTGACCCATCAGGAGATCGGATGCATGTTCTCAACATATGCGTGTATATTGCTCGTTCACAGTAACCACAGCCATCCTGAAATGAGGAAGATCTCTCTGGCCATTCGCCACCACATGAGCCATGCTCCGAGCAGCACTTTCCACCCCCAGGACTTCAGTGACCTTATTAGCTTCATCCTATATGGCGTCCTGCACCGTGGAGGGTAATGGCACAGTGACAGCTGCACAGAACTCTGAGAATGTCTTTTGTTTTACAGTCTCATGGTCATTTTTGATCTTTGGTAGTCGTGCTGTGGGTTTACACAGATGTGTGTATCATGACGATTTTGAGTCAACTATAGTGAGAGATTCACGTCAGGTCTGTGTACTGTAAGGGAAATCTGTGATGCACGCTTGGTTTTATGGCTTGTGATGAATAAAGGTGGTCATATCCTGTATCTACAGCAAGGACTCCTGGCTGGAGCGCCTGTACTACAGCTGCCAACGCCTTGAGAAACAGGATGGCCGTGGAAGTACTGATGGTAGCAAGCCAGACGTGGTGACACGGGCACTGCTGAAAACAGAGGTGTTGCTATGGCAGTGGGCAGTGTGGGAGGCTGCACAGTTCACCGTGTTATCCAAACTCCGAACACCTTTGGGTCGAGCTCAGGACACCTTCCAGACCATTGAAGGTAAAGTGAAGAGTTCATGTGACTGCATTCACAGTAATTGTCATTTACTTTCAAGATCTTTTTTGTAACCTCCAGAACAGGTTTCTCAGAGACATACAGATGCTGTCTGGTAAAGAAATAAAGCTGGGACAGTTCATCTAAAGTTCTCAGACACAAACCATTTTCTCTGCTTTGTTGCAGGTATGATCCGGAGCTTGGCTGCACAGAGTCTGAACCCCGAGCAGGATGTTGGAGCTTGGGCGGGCAGTGGAAGTGACAGTGATGGTCACCACTTAAATCAGCTCCGCCTCACTTTGCTGCTTCAGTACCTGGAGAACCTGGAGAAGCTCATGTACAATGCCTACGAGGGCTGTGCTAATGCTCTGACAGCTCCACCAAAGGTGCGCAGACAAACTCCACGGCTTGAAAATGAAATAGTTTAACATTTTGACACTAAAGGAGATGATAGAGCCTCAGAGTTTTATCATTACTACAGGTGTCCTTGAGTTTTGTGATAAAGGAAAAAGATACTGAGTCACAGTTTATCAGTAATTTATAAGTGCAAACAAAATGTATGAAGGGCGTTTTTAATCTTTTGTCTCCAGGGAGTGATTGTCATTGCTGACAGATTGGCTAAGTCAAAGATTGAATCTGCTAAACCTTACATATAGCCTCCTCTATAATGTCACATAATAAAATTGAAACAACTATTTTCTGTCTGGGATTTAGTGTTTTGGATCGATTGACGATTGATTGTTCATCCTGTTCATAGCCTGTACATACTTATAGTTATAGAATATTCACAACATACTTCATACCGTGTACATTATAACATCCCATAATAGACCCATTTCTGTAATATACTCGCATATCTATATTATTGCTAATATATATTGTAATATATCTATATCACTAAAGCACTTCTGGATGGATGCAAACTGCATTTCGTTGCCCTGTACCTGTGCATGTGCAATGACAATAAAGTTGAATTCTATTCTATTCGATTGATTAATAATCAGTCGCTTGTATAAATGATCACGCATGCCTTTTTCGCCACTCCTCAGGGAATTCGGACTTTCTTCTACACAAACCGTCAGACGTGCCAGGACTGGCTGACGAGGATCCGCTTGGCACTGATGAGAGTTGGTCTTCTGTCTGGACAGCCAGCAGTAACTATTCGCCATGGGTTCGATCTGCTTGCAGAGATTAAAAACAGTGGCACTCAGGTCTGTGTTAGTAGAGTATCCTCTATGTATTAGATGTAGTACAGATGTATATACAGTGAAAATATTCATATTACTTCACTTGTTTGTCATGTTACAGTAATCAGCACTGAATGTAGTACACAGCTGCAGTGCTGTCAGAGGCTTAGGATGCTAGCCACTGGATTTAACTAGCTGAGGTCACCGTGCTGCACAGCCCTTCTCCTCAGTTCACTGACCATCTTCCTGTTTGCTGATGACATATTTAACATCTGAGAAACCTAACATAGCGTTCTACCTTAAACTGCCAGCTCCGCTAGAGTTGACCAAAAGGGACTCTTTGACCTGACCCTTCGGTCATGTCTGGAGGAACCCAGGTACCGCTTATTACCTGGTCAATACATCCCATCTTCCAACAGGACAACAATCCTAGGCACACAAACCAAGATAACAAGAGAGTGTCCCAGCCAGAGTTCAAACTTGATCTGAACTGAACAGATGTGAAAATGGCTGTGCACCGAGGTTCTGCATAGAACAACGGGAGAAACTGCCCAAAAATGAGTGCCGAGAGGCTGTAACATGACCAAATGTGGAACGAGTGAAGTGCTGTGAATAAGTGCTGTAGTAGTTCTGTTTGTCTGTGCAAATGCTGAGTGTTAGATTAGGCGGTGTATCATTTGACCATCCTACAAATACTGTGGTAATAAATAGTGTCATCTGTCTGGGTGAACTGTGGTTCTGTGGACTTTAAAGGGTCCAGAGCTGGAGGTGCCCGTGGTGTTGCTTGTGGAGGCTCTGTTGGAGTTGCATTGTCCCGAGGCCATCCAGGGCTTGGCAAGTTGGAGTGCCTCAACTTCAGGCAAGAGTATGGGCTGGTTGTCATCGGTTGCGCTGCAGGCTGAGGGACGGTAAGGACTGGCACACTAACCGATTATCCTCATGGTTCACTGAGATACTCATTTGTAATAGATTCATGTAGTTTCATTGCTGTAATCAACTGTGCATATGTTTGTATGTGCAGGTTTGAGAAAGCAGCCCAGGAATATCAAGACCAACTGTCTGCAGTTACAGGGATGGACTGCAGCATCAAAGGCTCTGACTCCTTCATGCTCAAACTGTCCAGCAACACAAGCAGTCCAAAGCACTGTAGCAATGGTAACTAGCAAACATCCCGTTAGAGCGCAGCATGTTTATTTGTTCAGCTAGCTTTCTAACTGTTCCTGTAGCACAGCTGTGAGGCACACAGCCACTGCAGGTAGGCTGTGCATCACCGACTCTTAGAAACGTGTGTTTTCTGATGCTTTCTTTGTTTTTTCATCTTTCCTTTAAGTTTCACTGATGCTATGATGCTTGGTGTCATTTTCAACAGGTGACAGCAGGAAGACGGTGTTACTGAAGTCGAGTGAGTGCTCTCCAGAGGTGCTAAACTTTCTGGCCAACAAAGCCTGTCAGTGTTATGTGGCACTTTGTGACTGGGCTTCTGTTAAGGAGTGGCAGGCCACTGTCAGCACCCTCAAACAGAACTCGACCAATCCAGTCAGCATCAACCTGAAGACAGATTTCAATTACATCCATGCTTTGAGTCACTTTGAGGAGGGCGATCTAGCAGAATGTGGGGTTCAACTGGAGCTGCTGCCTGGAGAGGATTACACCGCTCTTTCTGGCAGTAAGGACAAACTTGGTAAGTGTCCTTACTGCCCCGAGTCTTAACAGACGTCTGGATTGTGACAGAGTTGTGCATTTGCAGTAAAACTGGTATTTTTTCCCAGAATGTAATGTAGGATTTTCAAAGTAAGACCACAGGTATCTGCTAAAAGGCTTGGAACATTTTGAATCTCAGTGACCTTGACCTCAAGGTCAGCTTTTCTGAAAGTCAGATTTATACCATGGGACCCATCTACTGGTGGCTGCTAGTATTTCTAACACTCTTTGTGCTCAAATTTAGATCTGAAAAGGCTCCTGCCCTCAATGAGTCCAGATCCAACTGAGCTGCAGAGAGCTATCGAGGTGCAGCTCCTTCGCAGCGCTGTAAGTGCAATGACCAAAGTCAGCGAGCAGCAGGATCAGAGAGCAGCACCAAACTCAGAGTGAGTTCATTTTTTATGGGTCAACCATTGTCAAATGCCGTACCAGCTCTGATTTCAAGGGGGAAAAAACCCATTAGGGTAATGAAACCCTTCTTAATAGGAGAACTGCCACATTTGAGCTTTCTATTGTTCAGTTTGCTCAGAAAGTATTTTTGTGATAAAGTCGGGCGTTTCAAGCCTTTTCTGGCCCTTTTCTGACGGCTGTAGCAGCATACACACAACAGAAACCCGAGCAGCCATGTAAGACAAAGCGTAGAAACAGAGATATAAAGAGATGATTATTGAGATATAAATACAAACCTAAATGTTATTATAAAGGGACACAAGTGTGACACTGTTTCTGGGATGTTATCAGTGCACTGTGCAGGCATACATTGTTTCCTATATGCAAGAAGTGCAGTGATCGACTCCCAGATTGCAGCCAGACATCAAACGTTAGAACATCTTCTTTTTGTAACTGGTGCAGATAACCACAACCCAGTAAGATTAAAGGCTCTTCTAAACTGATTCCAAGTTTTAACTGTATGAATTACACCTGGCTTGAGTATACGGTCTGAGACTGGATGTTTGGAACCTCGTGAGGCTACAGGGGAGGTGCGCACAACTCAAGCTCCTTCCAGTGACTACCAACTGGGGCTGATGGTATCCCTCTTCACCCAGAACAATAATATTAATACTCTAACATTTACTACCCAATGATATAGATAATATGAATTTTGGAAGTGACGTGCGTTTTTACGTATCTTTGGCAGCTTTTTATTCCATATGAATGTTGATTTCTGGCTGTTACGACTGGACAAGAAAGGTTTTGTTAAAAAATGGGGACACTTAAAGAAATCTAGGATGCGAACACATGTTGATAGAGTTGTTTGTTCCTCCTAAAGTAAGAGGCTCGTTCTTTAGAAGAACCACTGATGATAGCAGAGGTGGATCATTGGGCTTGTAAAGATCCTTAACATCACGTGCTACTCATAGACCTAAACACTTGGATTTTCTGTGGCTAATCTTGAAAGAGTTGGATCCAATTTGTCCCTCGCATGCAGAAGGGCGGGGCCTTAACTCATTATTTTGAATATTAACTTCATAATCATCTGTATGAAGAGAGACTTTGTGCTCTGATCTGCTGGATCCCTTTAATAACGTTCATCATTAAATAAAAAATGATGAACTGAATCCGTGACAGAGGGCAGCCGGACCACCCACTGGGAACAAGTCGATCCTATGGCAGACAACCGAATCTCCACAGCGTTGCAGAGGCGTGTCAACCAAGGCAGCCCTACAGCATCCAGGACCATGAAGAACTCCTCCACCCCCAACAGCCCAACTACCTACAAGCTAGTAGTTTGACTGCCTGAATGACCTCGCCCCAATGATCAGCAAGTAGCCGCCCTCATCCACAGACTCTGCTCCAACTATTCCCTCCACTGCCTCCAGTTAACTCATTCACTGCAATTGACGTCTATAGCCGTCAATGGCAGTGAATGAGTCAATGGGTTTAACTCATTCACTGCCAATGGCTGGCAGTGAATGAGTTAAAGGCAGCATCACCCCATCCACACTATATTTACACTGTGCGAGTAGAGCATTGCTTTTAGTCACCTGACAATTTGCCAGAATTGCTTAGAGTCCGACCAAAAGTCTTGAACTGAACTTCTTCCACACCCAAGGTTGGGAAGGAAGATGCTGTGGACTGGGCCGTCTGACCCTCTGTCACAGATCTGTTGTCTCGGTTCTGGAGGGTCTGTCCAGTTTCCTCTCGCAGCAGCTGATCTAACTCATCAGCAGGGCGTGATCAGTTAACAGCTCAGCTCCTCTCTTTGCCTGAGTGTCATAGCAAATCCGTCAATGCAACGCCAATCTAGGTCTTGTAGTTTCGTCAAGTTTCCCAGTAGAACAATGGAATCAGTTCTAGGAAAACTCTGTCATTCGCTGCATACTTGCAGTCAGGTGGTCAGGGACCTTTCCCTGACCTGAAGCAGCAGGGAACCAAAGTCCAGCCCTTCTCCTGGAGACTGTGTGGTCTCACTCGTGCTCCCTGTCCAGCCCTGCCTCCAACTTCTTTCATCTAGGCCAACACGCTTGTTCCCAGCATTGAGCGCATACGGTTTACTGAACATTGCTTTTGTTGCTTAATATACATTTTTAGTGTGTTGTATATGATTGTTGTTATTAATTAGGTTCTTTCGTCAGCAGCAGCAGTAGGTTTACACTCCAGACTGACAGAATAAGGTCATATAGTAACAACCAGGCTTGGCAAACACTGATGTGTATATAGGTAAGGCAGGTGTTGCTGGAATAAACTGGATGTGGCTCCTTCAGAGATCTTTTTCGTGCTGCTACTTTGTCATTGCTCTGATGCCAACTTCTGTTAATTCTTTTGCATGACAGTGAAAACTGAGACGTTTCAAACCTCTAGATAAAAGAGAGCATGTTTAGCAGCACGTCCAAGGTAGGAGGGAGAGACTGACAGCAACAGACTGTCCTCTGTGCTCGTGTGAAAGAACTCTTCAGGCTGAAATGGGGTTAAGAGTGTAAATCTCATCTATCCTTGGTATGTTCAGTCATTTCCTGATTCTGTAAAGTGAGACTGAACGACAGCCTCCATTCCAGGGCCAAAAAGGAGGAAAAAGTCGGTTAATTCTGGAGTCGTTGCAGAAAACGGTCTCTTGTCTGTTTTCTTTCCAAATGTTAATGTTTAAAATGTGTTACTTATTTTTAGCACGGTGCCATTTTCAGACTGGTAACAAATCGTGTGATGTGATGTTGCAGTACGTTGGTGCGTTGCTTGAAACAGACCGGACGGATCTGCTTGGGTCCCCTTCGCCTGTCGACCCTCACCCTCTCTGAGACCCTGCCCACATTTCCCACCCTGCAGCTCCACTCTACTGCCACCCTGGAGAATGCTCTCACTGGACAAGAGGTTCATAAATAAACTCATTTCATTTGCATCAAAAACGACTTTACAGTTGTTTAGTGTCAGTTTGGCGCGCGCACACACACACACACACACACACACACACACACACACACTTTCTAGGTTTCTAGCGTTAACTTCAGACGAAGCAGCTGCAATGAGCACCAGCTTGAACTGTAATTGTCCAGTGTAAAGAAACGTGGCTTATCTTCACCCTTTGTTCTTCACAGGACTGCGTGATTCCTCTGTGCAGTGAGGCTCTGAACTCCTGTAAGCAGCAGGATGCCCAGCTGTTCCTTCATGCCCTCAGATACAGCACATTTCAGAGACAACTCCTCCACAAACTTAAGGGTAACCATTGAGTCCTGTTGTTTCTGAGAGAATGAATCACACCTCAGTTTTGTTTCAGCAGCATCGAAGAAGAAAAACACAATTTATGCGTGCTTCATAAATTGTCAGAGCAATTCTTCCAAGAAAGAAATGAAGCCACTTTGCATCTCTGAGGGTTAACCCAGGCGGTACAGTGGTTGGATGATCGGTCAGGCTGTCCAGCTGGTACCTCAGCTCGTCCCCAAAATAGCCTGAGCTAAGAAGTTGGTTGGACCTGACCTTACTTTACAAAGTCCCAAATCCAGCTTTGTGCTGCAGACGTACTTTTTGCTGGGCTGAACGTGATCACTGTGCTGCATAGACAAAGGGCCATGGAAACATGCTGGATGTATTTGTCCATGTAAACCTCTAACATTTCTCCTCATTCTTGCTTAGGTTACTCTTCTTCCACCGATAGCCACCTAATGGAGCTTTGTCTGACTGCTGTCAAATTTGCCCGTAAAAAAGGCAACATCACACTGGCATCTCGCCTGCTCAGACAGTTCAGTGACACACAAACACAAGAAGAAGAGCAGGAAGAGCACCTGTGCAAGGCCTTCAGGCGTCTTAATCTTGAAGGCACCCTGGGGGAGAAATGGGGACCAGAGGTGGAGATAGAAAAAGCCAAAGTCCT